GTTTCCACGTAAAGTGCCCGTGTTGTGTTTTCCTTATTGTTTACTCTTCGGCACTGTTCTTGTTTTTTCAAGGGACCTGGTCTATTAACTGATAGTGGATGTCTATATTCTATCAGAGTCTCACCAAAACAGATCATCCCATGAGTTGTGAGATCTTCATCAAGAAGAATGTTCTGTGGTTTTATATCACAGTGAATCATGGGTGTTTGGCACTCATGGTAAAGATAATGAAGTGCAGAGTCCACATTTTATGATATTCATTCTCTGAAGTATCATGCTTGAGGGAAGTACATGCTTCTTCCGCGTCTTTTGATAAACACAAGATCGTAAATGCAGCTTTTGAATCCCACCACAAAACTAGGAATTCCGGTTTAAACTCAAATTCAATTGAGCCACAATAAATTCTGCAAGTTGCCAAAACCCTTGGGTATATTTCAAGTGAAATTGTTTACAGGAAAATCAAGCTCTAGCAATTTAGAAGCATTGGCCTAAGAGGACGGTTGGAACCAATGAATTGAAGTTCCAAGTGAGGTACTAGGAAATTAGGAAAGCAGTTGCCTAAATCGGATGTGAGATTACTAAGGACGACAAATTGTACAATGGAGGAGGGAACTTCCCGAATAAGCTATTTACTGACAACCCAAGAAGCCTCAACTCGGTCAATCAAGATAAAGAAGCTGCCACTTGTCCCTCTAGATTGTTGTACGATAAATACAACTCGTCTAAAGATGTAAGATTTCTAATAGAACCTGGAAAGAGTCATGTCAAGTTGTTATTTTTGAGAGAAAGTTTTACTAACTTTTTTAAAGATCCAACTTGGTAAGGAATATGTCCCACAAGAGTGTCGTGGTCCAGGACAAGGTTCTTGAGGTTAACTTAATGTGATAGATTGACTGGAACTTCCCCTGTCAGATAGTTGAAACTCAAATTCAAGTTTTGAAGTCTTTACGGACTGCTGAGTTGTTGAGGAATTTTTTCATGGAAGGCATTTTTCTGTGAGGTCAAGCACATTAAGAAAAGAGAGATTTCCTAGATGAGTTGAGATCATACCTGCCAGCCTTATCCCTTCGAGATTCAACTGGATGACTCTTTTGTGTCTCTAATCACATTTTACTCCAACCCACTGACAGAAACAAACAGAATCATTCCAAGAGGCGAAAACTCTTGATGGATCCTCACTTATTTGGGACTTGATCCAAGTAAGGCAAGCAACCGGATGACTCTTCCGTGTCTCAGACCACATTTTACTCCAGTCCACTGACAGAAACAAACAGAATTATTCCAAGAGGTGAAAACTCTTGATGGATCCTCACCTATTTGGGACTTGAATCCAAGTAAGGCAAGTTTATCAGTTTCATTAGAGCAAGAAAAGTAGAAGATGCCGCCTGTTGGAGAGAAAAAGAGAATAGAAACACAGTATGGATAGCCGGAAAGGTGTGGAAGTTAAAACTTGCTGTGAAAGTTTCCATTGTGCAAAATGGCAAAAACCAATATATAATAAATATATTCAAAAATCAATGATATCCAATATCTAAAGTGTAATCTTAAAGATTCTTAATTAGTACTAAATTGATTTTAATTTTAGTTTATGAGTTAAAATTTGATATGAATTTGTCAAATTTTTATAATTTTATATAGATATTATGTTTTGATTAAAAAATAATTAAGTTAATTAAATTCATAGATTACAAACTTAATACACTTATATCATCAATTAAACTTTTGTCCTACCACCACAATCAATATTACATTTCTAAACAAACTTCATTTGATATGACTCATCGCAATTATAATATATTTTTGTTAGAAAAGGAACTCAACATTTTTTTATATTTTGTGGAACTGTATTTTTAAAATTGTACTTGAAAAATAAAAAAACATGATAAAAATAATATTATGACATTTGAGTGATGAGTAATATAAATTCTGAATGAGAAAGGGAGGAATAAACTATGGATCAAATAACTAAAATAATCAACTAAAATTAAAGCAAAGAAAGTTAATATAATTTCATGAGTAAAATAACCAAAATATAATATTGTATTCATTCCTTTTTTTCTTAACATGGGTTGTAATCCTCCCTTCTTTCTTTTGGAGAAAACTCCATTAAAAAAATTAAATTCAAACAAAGAAAGTGAAGCTGAATAGACAATGAATATCACATCACTCAACATGCCAAATCTCATAAATATATTTTTTACTTATATTGGGTTATGATGGTTTTTATCAAAATTCAATACTTAATTAGCTTTATACACAAATAACTCACATGAATCTGCATGTGAAAATTCAATAAATTTGACCTACTATTGACAAAATATAATAATAATAATAATAATAAAAGAAAAACACAGACAATGAATTGTGCTAACCAAAAAAATCATGTCAGAACGAAATGTGACTTACCCCATTTGTATTGGCACAACTCAAAGGATAGTTCTATGCAATCGACGAAGCATCTCATCAATTGATTTTCCCTATAACAAAAAAAAACCATCTCATAAGCTATTGACAAAAAATTACAACTTTTATTTTTCATCAGAGATTAAAATCTTAAACATCATAAACTATATTATAAGTAAGTGTAAGAAACGAAATAAAAAATAACTTAAAATAACATGCACAATGCAGCATCCAAAAGAAAAATATTTCAATGCTCTCTATCAAACTCATAATAAAATAGAATGTAAAAAGCAAGAAGAAATACATATATGAAATGAAAAGACAAGGATCATAGTAGGGAATGTAAAGAAACAACAGTTTCTTTAGAAGATTATTAATGAATAGTTATCTTTTTAATTTATTTATTTCATGTAAAAATATATATTTTAAGTACAATATGATATGATTATTATTTAATATTTTGTTAATTAATTATTTTTATTTAATATAAGGATAAAATGGTAATCCAACATTGTATTTTGATGCTTCCCACTTATAATAATATATGATAAATTATACTTATGAATTTAGCACTTTTGATTTATGATAATCACGTTTTTTAAACTGCATTCATGTTACAATTATGGCGTGCTCCATTGGGCTTCTAGTACTATTGAACTCATCCATGGTCAATCTCTTCATATACTTCGCCTTATTTATAAAAAAAAATGCTTAACGTTATAACTCATTTTAACTCGAGGTCAAACAATGTATAACATATTAGTGAATTAGGACTCCTATTTTGCTAAAGTAATGCTAATTATGGATAAAAGTTCTAATTATCCTAAAGGGAAGACACACACACTTTAAAACCAGTTAAAAACGATTAGCCGATCAAAACTTTGGTTAATTAATTAAAAAAGGAGCAAATTTAACAGGAACATGTTTTAAATATTTGTGATATGTATCTTGAAACTAGAATCCCTCATATTTTGCGACAAAGTAGAAAAAATAACCTTATATGTTTCTAGGTAAGAGTTCTAATTATCCTAAAAGGAAGACGCACATACTTTAAAATTCATTAAAAATGATTTGCTGGCCAAAACTTAGGTTAATTAATTAAAAAGCAAAAAGAGCAAATTTGAAAGGAGTATGTTATAAATACTAGTGATATGTATCTTGAAAATAATATCTGCAATCTTTCGCAACAAATCAGAAAAGTCATAAAATCACAGTAGACCAAGGAACCTATCCTAACAAATTAACTTATCCATCTTTAGTAAAATTTCATGTCCCCTTTTTTGGAATGGTTTAAAACTTTCAACAAAAGTTGCACATTTCATAAACAAAAAAAGATTTTTAGTATGGGGTTTTAGTTTTTTTTTTTAAAAAAAAACTTAATTGATCTAATCTAGGTGAATTTGATCTATTTTTTAAAACGGTATGTCAAAAACATGAAAATTTCCCAAGACCCAACATAACTAATATGTTAAAGACTATAGTCGATAGTCTTAAAAAAGTAAAAAGGGCAAAGAACAAATAAGTGTCATATAACACAAATTAAGAATATCGGCAAGAACACAAACATAATAAAGTAAAGACAAAGAGAAACGAAAGGAGTAGATTTCCAGATTTCCTTGCTACTTTGCCATGTCTATTTGCATGAGCTTTTGAGAAGCGGGAGATACAACGTTGAAGAGAGGATTCGAGCTTTCAAATCTAGCAATGGTGTTGAGTCTTGAAATGAGACTTCTTGCACGGAAAAGTCTTTTATGAAAGACTCCAACTAGCATCGAAAGTGTTCATGTAAATAAAGAGAGAGCAAGGAAGTTAATTAGATGATTCAACTTTAAATGATACTCCCTCCGTCCGGTATTGTTTGTCATGGTTTCTATTTTTAGAGTCAAACTATAAAAACATTTACTAACATTTTAAGCTATATTTTTTCATCATATTAATATGCAAAAATTGCAATTTATAGTACTTTTTATATAGTTTTAGAATATCTAAATTTTTTTGTTAAAAATATCGAATTAATGTGATCTTATTTAACTTTGAAAATTAGTCAAATTTACTTTCAAAAAGCGCAACATGACAAACAATTTCGGACGGAGGGAGTAGTGCATAAATGAAATATAGAGGTAAGTAAATATGCCATCCAAAACACAAAAATGTGCAAATGCCTATCAAGATATGGCTCACGCAATTGGTAACTTTAAACCAAACTTAAACAGCCAAGCCACCATTCATGTCTTTTAAGCACAAAATTATTAGTCAAGTTCAACAGGTTTAAGCTAAAAAAACATTACTTTTCATTCCCTGATCCTTCCACATTTTACCCAGCCATCACTAAATAATTTAGAAGGAGACTTACACATAAAGCTCTACTAACTAATGGATTACGAACATCAATCTTCTCTTTGGTCATTTAGTTAGTAGAGCTTTATGTGTAATTCTCCTTCTAAGTCTCCAACAGGCGGCATCTTCTACTTTTCTTGCTCTAATGAAACTGATAAACTTGCCTTACTTGGATTCAAGTCCCAAATAAGTGAGGATCCATCAAGAGTTTTCGCCTCTTGGAATAATTCTGTTTGTTTCTGTCAGTGGAGTGGAGTAAAATGTGGTCTGAGACACGGAAGAGTCATCCGGTTGCTTGCCTTACTTGGATCAAGTCCCAAATAAGTGAGAATCCATCAAGAGTTTTCGCCTCTTGGAATGATTCTGTTTGTTTCTGTCAGTGGGTTGGAGTAAAATGTGATCTGAGACACGAAAGAGTCATCCAGTTGAATCTCGAAGGGATAAGGCTGGCAGGTATGATCTCAACTCATCTAGGAAATCTCTCTTTTCTTAATTCGCTAGACCTCGCACAAAATGCCTTCCAAGGAAAAATTCCTCAACAACTCAGCAGACTGTGAAGACTTCAAAACTTGAATTTGAGTTTCAACTATCTGACAGGGGAAATTCCAGTTAATCTATCACATTGTGTTAACCTCCAGAACCTTGTCCTGGACCACGACACTCTTGTGGAACAGATTCCTTACCAAGTTGAATCTTTAAAGAAGTTAGTAAAACTTTCTCTCAGAAATAACAACTTCACATGACTCTTTCCAGTTCTATTAGAAATCTTACATCTTTAGACGAGTTGTATTTATCGTACAACAATCTAGAGGGACAAGTGGCAGCTTCTTTATCTTGATTGACCGAGTTGAGGCTTCTTGGGTTGTCAGTAAATAGCTTATTCGGGAAGTTCCCTCCTCCGTTGTACAATTTGTCATCCTTGGTAATCTCACATCCGATTTAGGCAACTGCTTTCCTAATTTCCTAGTACTTCACTTGGTGAACTTCAATTCATTGGTTCCATACCGTCCTCTTAGGCCAATGCTTCTAAATTGCTAGAGCTTGATTTTCCTGTAAACAATTTCACTTGAAATATACCCAAGGGTTTTGGCAACTTGCGAAATTTATTGTGGCTCAATTGAATTTGAGTTTAAACCGGAATTCCTAGTTTTGTGGTGGGATTCAAAAGCTGCATTTACAATCTTGTGTTTATCAAAAGACGTGGAAGAAAAATGTACTTCCCTCAAGCATGATACTTCAGAGAATGAATATCATAAAATGTGGCCTCTACACTTCATTATCTTTACCATGAGTGCCAAACACCCATGATTCACTGTGATATAAAACCACAGAACATTCTTCTTGATGAAGATCTCACAGCTCATGGGATGATCTTTTTGGTGAGACTCTGATAGAATATAGACGTCCACTATCAGTTAATAGACCAGGTCCCTTGACACAACAAGAACAGTGCCGAAGAGTAAACAATAAGGAGAACACAACATGGACACTTTACATGGAAACCTCATTTCTCAAGGGAGTAAAACCACAACCTGTTGCATAGGATTTTCAACTGCTCACTAATCTTTCATAAGCAAAAGTGCACCCAGTTACACCCAATATGAGAAAAATTTATTAATCTCACGACCAAATAATCTACCTATTACTTGAAGAGTCTAACAGATACAACACTGCCCACTAAGCTATTACCCTTAGATAACTTAGACTTTTTCTAAGCGGATACAACGCCCACTAAAACACTTAACTCTAGATGATTTTAGATTTTTCTGGGCATTACAACATTGCCCACTAAATCAGTTACCTATAACTAATTTAGAATTGTAGCACCAATAAACTATCTGAGTCCTTTATAGATATAGGATCAGTTGGCAGCCTTTTGACAACTGTCTTTTCTTGTTCGCAAACTTCCCGGGACCAGGTCCCTTGCTGCGTTATTTGAGAGTTCCTAAAAGTCTTGTTGGTTGGCTACTTCTCTTGGATGAATGACTTTAACATGGGGTTTGTCATGATGAAAATATCAACCATGAAGAGTTATTACCCGTTGGATAAACACTCTGGTCCATTCTGATTAGTTCGGTATGTTGGCACCTCACCTACCAATGACAGACGAGACAACTTTACAGTTGTACCCCAGTATGCATCTAACGAAGAAAACTCTGTCGAAGACCAGGTCCCTACATTTGTGAGGATTATCAAAACACCAAGAATATAATATTTTCCCATTTTTGATGAAGACACACAAATAAACATTTGCTCCCTTGTTAGACTCTGCATTTGTGAAGATCATCAAAACACCTAGAATATAACAGACTCATTGTTGATGAAGATCTCACAGCTCAGTTTAGCTATGCATCTCCAGGTAATGATTCTAGGTTAACAAAAACTATGATACGAAATCTCTTCTAACAATAGTGGTTTATTTATAAGCTAAAAATTTTCTTGTTGCAGAAATTGGCATGGGTAGTAAGGTCTCCATTAAAGGAGATATGTATAGTTTTGGGATTCTCGTATTGGAGATATTCACTAGAAGAAGACCCACAGACGACACTTTGTTCCAAGCAAGCTCTAGCCTCCACGACTTAGTTGAAACAGCATTGCCAGAGAAGTTATGGAGATTCTAGACAAAACAACTTTTCAAGAATACTGGGGCACTATCAAGAAAGAAGAGATGGAATTCTTGGTTAGCTACTTGAGATTGGTGTTGCATGTTCAGATGGACACTGATAAGATAAAAATTTCTACAAAGGGGAGATTGAGGCCACATGCTACAAATGAAAGCATTGGATATGATCTAAAATGGTTTAAATTCTGTCTACTTGGTAAGAATTATAACATTCTGTATATTTGGAAAGCTTTGAATTTGATGTAAAACTTGAAATGCCTGTAGTATTTTCAGCATGCACAAGATCTAAGGTAATGTCAGATTTGTTGTTACGTAATGGATTTAGTCTGACTTTAGGAACATCAGATATTAGTTCTGAACGTCTACATCAGATAATATGTTTCATTCATGAATGTAAAGGTTGTGATTTTTCTTCCATATTCTAGACGCACGTGAGGAATTCCTGTCCCATAGTTGGAGCATCATGATCAATACTTGAAATATGCAGCAGTTGCCCCAAAGAAATAAAGTTTATTTTCACATTCACAATGCATATAGGGAAACCCTGAAAAAAAATTCAAACAAGTTAGGCATGCTCAAGTAATTGAACATCTCCACCATTAATTGGTATGAAGTTTCGAGTCTACACTAGAGACCGGTTAGTGAGAATACCATTAATCCTCCTAATTATAGGGTACTGGGATGGAAAAGAAAAAATCGGTTTTTTACTACTCCCTGAATCTTTTCTTTGGTCATCTAGAGAAGAATTAGAAGCTAATCCTGACCTGTCAAGAGTATAGCATCTTCTCTCTTTGTATCACTTCTGAGTCAATAAAGAGTTCCACAACAACAAAAAGGTGGACTACTACAGGATAAAAAACAGAAATTGCTTCTCAGATGGGTTTCATCGTTGCGATGAAAGTATCAAGCTAAGTAAGCCTGAAGGTGTATTGAGTAACTATAAATCTTTTGGTTTTTGACCATAGGAAAGTGAAGTAAGAATTCAACTAATAAATAAATTTGGAACAAAATAAAAACAGCACATATGACGATGCTTGATTGACAAAGCAAATTTTGAATGGCAAATTTGCCAAACATCTTCCTTTGCTGCTGCTTCAGTTCATGCCAGAGAAGGAGATACATGAGAAGAGTAGCTTGACCGCACTTCAGAGAATGAATATTATAATAGATGTAGGTATGCACTTCATTATCTTAACTATGAGTGTCAAACACGCATGATTCACTGTGATATAAAACCATATAACATTCTTCTTAATTTGACAACTTAGTAATGCATAAGCAAAATATATGATGGTAGGACAGAAAAACAGTACCACTGTTATACATTTAATAATAATGAACAGCCAAAATATTAATTTGATGGAAGAATAGGGAATTATTCTCCTGTCATATACATATTTATTAATCCCTCAATGTTTAGAACAGATGTAATCTTAGTTATATTCTAATACTTCTTAGGCCCTCCTCAATCGAAGCCGTAAATAGTGACATTCACTAACCTTTTTCTATCCCTGTGGTGCTTGAACTGACTTTCAAAGAAATTACACTTAGATGTCAGGAAATTATATACTCTGGCTATTTCATCTTCTATTTTCATGATTTTCTAAGCCAATAAAGAGCATCACACCAATAAGCAGGCGGACTACAAAATGATAAAAAATAGAAATCAGTTCTCAGTTGGATTTCATCGCTGTGATGAAAGTATATCCAACTAAGTAATCCTGAAGTTTTGTTCACTCTGTGGTTTTTTGACCATGAAAAGAATGGAACTAACGTAAATCCAGTCCTGTTCAAAAAAAATTGAAACAAAATATTAAAACAGCACATATGACGATGCTTGATTGACAAAACAAATTTTGAATAGAAGATACGCCAAACATCTTCCTGGTAATGCTAAAATATTTCATTTATAGGAGTTCATCACTTCAAATGTGCAGCAGTTGCAAAAAAAAACAAGAAGAGGTTTTTGTTCAAAATGCATATAGAAAATCACGTCTAATACAATATGTAACTATGCCCTCAATCTCCCAAAAGTCATGTTTGAATAGAAACTAATCATGATTGAAGATAGTGAAGGGCAGAAAGCCAAGTCTATTACAATGTTTCTTCTTCTTCTTCTTCTTCTTCTTCTTCTTCTCTTCCTCCTCCTCCTCCTCCAACTTCTTCTTCTGATGTATCTGGACAAAGTTATAAACAAAATTTGAAAAGAATTAGAAACAATTTAAACTTGTTTAAAGTAAAAAAGGAGACCAAGAATTTACAAAATGCCACTGAAGTCAAACAAAGAAGACAGACAATATCTCTATGAAAATATCAGTTGGTTCAATTGAGAAGTCTTAAACATAAATTTGAAAGGAATTTCTATCCTGACCTGAAGCAGCATTTAGGATATCGCAAGAACTAAAATAAAAAATTGAACTCAAACTAACTGGTACCTTGGAGAATAAATCTTCTGAGGTCATCCAACCTTTCTGCAATAGACAACTGCTGAGCAATGGTTACAATATTGGAGGGCGTCATATGGAAACAAGCTAATGTTTGATGGAAGCAATACATGGGATAATCAACTTTGTCCATGACTGCAACATTTTTGTACCCATTGATGTTGGTATCATACTCGTATAGATCATGATACTGTGTTGGGGGACGTTGTACCAGAAAAGACACTTTTTTGTTGTCAATCCAAACTAGAAAGACGATAATATCATCATCCGGACTTAAAACAAACTTTTCCAAAGTGTGGAAAACCCCCCAACGGCTGCTTGCTCTGTCAAAAATCCCATTTACTATGTGTTTTCTTAAAATGCATACAAAGGTAAGTAAACCTTGCGCCCTCCCTAGCCATATATCATTACCATTCATTTCCCTACTAGTGAAAGTTTTCCCATAGCTAATATCATAAAGATCAATAAAGTCCGAACGGTCGATGAGTAAAGCCTCTTCATTCTTTGTATCAAGGGCTAGGACACTACCGTCACTTCTAAGAAAATACAAAAAATTGTGCCAATGAACAGGTGGACTACCGTAAGGTAAGGATATGAAAGTATTGGTTCTCGATTGGATTTCACGCCACAAGTCAGATCGCTTTGAAAGCAAGTGAAATTTGTAGAACAAGTTAATTTTGCACAAGGTTACTTATGTATACCAATTGGTATTGATTTGAAGTAGGGTAATCAACAGCTAGGCCTATCTTTTTTAACTCATGTCTAGGAGAATTCGGATATGGAATCAGTTGATGCTCTCCAGTTAAGGGATTGAATATGCAGTAACACCTAATTCTCTCAAACTCAAGGATAAGCAAATCATCACATGAAGCTAAAATCTCTACGCCATAACATAGCCTTGTCACAGATTGAGTGATAGGATTTAGGGAGATTTTTGGGAATTCTCTCAGCAATCTCCCATCATGAATTAAATAGATGAGTTGTGAAGACGTGACTTTTTTTGACGGTGGAATAAAGTTTTTGAAAATTCAAGAAGAGATATCATGCCTTTAAAATTTTTGGATAGAATTTTACATTGAAAAACAAACTTCAAAGGCAAGCGGGAGATAATCTCCATCACCATAGCATCCGGCATTTCAATACTCTCTGATAGACTATTGTGTTCCTCTGCTCTGTTGTCATTTCTCATTCTTTTAGTTCTTTCTATTCCCTTTTTCGAGTGTATTAAGAAAAACATAAAATGTTTTACCCTAAAACAAGTTGTTGTTAAATAGTGTAAAACTTTATTGGGGAAATCTCCGAAGCGATTCGACAGATTTTGTTGAACAATCAATGAAACTAGATATATATGTGGACTTATAATAATTCATTCACATTAAGAAACAATAAATGATATATGTTGTTCAACTTAATTATAACCTGCTTAAGATTATAAGTGTGTTTAATCAATTTGTGAATTTGGTTTATGTATGGATATGACACTTCAATTCCATATATGCAAACTATTAGTTCATTCTCCAAAAAATGTGGAACTCTAACACCCGCCTTCACACGCCAAGACCAAGCCCAAGGTCAAGCCCAATAATAGTGAAAATGAGAGGTCCAAATAGATATGACTCTTATATTATGTAAAGATATGAAACTGCAACACCAAAAACTAGCTCCTGGTGGGGAGGATTATTACTTAAGTCCATACAAGGTTCATCCTTATTTGAGCTACCGCTCCACGCTGGTTGAGCGTGAAACAAGGCGTTAGAGTGGGTTAGGTCCCACAGTAATTGGGGTACGTTTTCTTATATGAATTTAAACAATCATCCTCTCGTGATCTAGATTTTGAGATCAAGTTAGCTGACCCGAGTACCATAACCTTACATGGTATGATAGTCAAGTTCATCCCAATTTGGGCATCCCTTTGAGAGGGGATGGTGTGTTAGAGTGAGTAAGAGCCCCACATTAGTTGGGGATTGAACGGGTGGTTGCTTATATGATCTGGACAATCCTTTCTTCAAGAGCTAGCTTTTGGGTTGAGTTAGGTTAATGTGCTATATATATCTTTACATTTTATATACTCTATCTAAAAACACTTATTCTATTTGGTCCTATTTGATAATTTAGGATGTACCATATATATATTTCATCAGCTGACCAGAACAAATAAAGGATTTAGTTGTACTAGTATAATTGTTACTATAATATATATAGAAACAACAATAAATATGAGTATCTACCACCAACACTTTACATAAATGTCGTTAAAGGCTTTAATGATGTTTGATGCAATAACGTTAACCCAATTACTGCTAAATGTTCAGTGGGAGCCTCAAGCGAGAGATTTGGGAAAGGAGACCACATTGACGAAAGGACTAACTTGAAACTTTGTATTGTATCACTATTGTCGTTGAAAGGAAAATTTGTTGCCACTAAATATATCGTAGTAACTTGAACTACTGCAAACTAACTCCTCCGCTAGATCTGCTAAGGACCTGGCTTTCTTTTATATTTTGTCAATCATCAAAACATAATTTCAACTCAGGTCCACTCAAAACAAGTACTTTTGGTTCTATATGGAGAAAAAAAGGTCATATATAAATAATCCGACTTACGCAGATAATGTTGTAATTTCTTTTATTTACTTTCTGTACAAAGTAATCCCTCAAGTTTGCTATTTAGGATATAGATTTATGAGTGTAATAGGACAAATGGTAAAAGGGAAATGCATTTTTTAAAATCAACAAGGAGAAATATAAGAAAATATTGATAGTCATAATCTTCTGACAATCAGATGATGTCATCTCATATCATATCATCATATTATATATTTAGAGATTAGGATCATTGATATACTCTTAAATATCATTTTGGCATGTTAAAATCTATATTTTTATTGCATCATGATTTTTGTTACACAAATTTTTTTATACAAAAAATGTAACTTGCATAACATTTCTTAATGTGAATGAATTATTGTAAGTCCACATATATATCTAGTTTCATTGATTGTTCAACAGAATCTGCCGAATCGTTTCGGAGATTTCCTTAATAAAGTTTAATACTATTTAACAACAACTTGTTTTTGGGGTAAAACATTTTATGTCTTTCTTAATACACTCAAAAAAGGGAATAGAAGGAACTAAAAGCATGAGAAACGGCAACAGAGCAGAGGAACACAATAGTCTATCAGAGAGTATTGAAATTTCGGATGCTATGGTGATGGAGATTATCTCCGGCTTGCCTTTGAGGTTTGTTTTTCAAAGTAAATTCTATCCAAGAATTTTTAAGGTATGATATCTCATCCTGAATTTTCAAAAACTTTATTCCACCGTCAAAAAGTCACTTCTTCACAACTCATCTATTTAATTCATGATGGGAGATTGCTGAGAGAATTCCCAAAAATCTCCCTAAATGCTATCACTCAATCTGTGACAAGGCTATGTTATGGCGTAGATATTTTGGCTTTATGTGATGGTTTGCTTATCCTTGAGTTTGAGAGAATTAGGTGTTACTGCGTATTCAATTCCCTAACTGGAGAGCATCAACTGATTCCATATCCGAATTCTCCTAGACATGAGTTAAAAAAGATAGGCCTAGTGGTTGATTACCTTACTTCAAATCAATACAAATAGGTAACCATAAGTAACCTAGTTGAAAATTCCATTTTGTTATACAAATTTCACTTGCTTTCATCAAAGTGATCTGGCTTGTGGAATCCAGAAGGAAAATCACAACCTTTTTGGAACATTGTCACCATGACCATTTAATCCTGCCTTTATGATCCCCTTAAAAGTCTGATAGAATTTTTCAGATTTTTAAGTTTAAAACTAAAGTGATAAGTTTAGAACCCTATGTTTGACGATAATTATTTTATTTATATGTAATGGAAAATGGGTTATCCCGCAATGATAAATTATATATACTCCTTACTTAAGACATATAGTCTCTTCTTGTTAGACCCCTGATCTAAGTCACTCAGCAAAATGGCAGCATAGACAAGGTTTTTAAAGCATGTTGACCTTGTCACTTGTATAAGCCAACGAAACAAACAAGCAAGGGTAAGGTGGCGACGGACTATTGACTAAGCTAAGGTGTGCACAATGGCACCAAGGACTGATTCCATAGTGGCAAGTGAGGATCAAGGACTTGAGGGAAAGGAAACTTGGTGAGGACTTGTCAAGATGAAGGCTAAACAATGTCATGTGAGCATGGCATTGGTATTCAAATAAAGTACAAGGACAAACGACAAGCAAAGCTAAGGAAGCAATGCAAAGATCAACAGTGTTCTCAGTAACCCACCAACGTGCACCCTAACCTACCTACCGATTAATGGTGGAGATGTTCAACCACTTAATCATGCCTAACTTGTTTGAAGTTTCTTTCCCAGGGTTACCTATATGAATTTTTATGTGGATATAAAATTTATATTTGGGGCAACTGCTGCATTTTTCAAGTATTGATCATGATGCTCCAACTTTGGGACAAGAATACCTAACCTGTGTCTAGAACACAACCTTTTAGGAACATTCTTACCATGACCATATGATCTTGCCTTATGATCCCCTAACACATCTGATTCTTTACATTCATGAATTAAACTTATTATCTGATGTAGACGTTCAGAACTAATATCTGATGTTTCTAAAGTCAGACTAAATCCATTAAGTAACAAGAAATCTGACACCGCCTTAGTTCTTCTGCATGCTGAAAACACTACAGGCATTTCAAGTTTTACATCAAATCCAAAGCTTACCAAATAGACAGAGTGTAACATTCTTACCAAGTAGACAGAATTCAAACCATTTTAGATCAAATCCAATGCTTTCATCTGTAACCTGTGGCCTCAATCTCACCTAATCCTAAAGGGAAGACACACATACTTTAAAATTTGTTTAAAATGATTAACTGGCGAAAACTTATGTTACTTAGTTAAAAAGTAGCAAATTTAAAAGGAATATGTTAAAAATACTTGATAAAATACTTGTGATATATATCTTGAAAATAAGATATCTCTCAGAAAAGTAATAAAGCCAAAGTAGATTAAAGAAACCTTCATCCAAGTGGTTGAAAACTTATACATCTTTAGTAAAAGTTTGCGTCTCTTTTTTTTTTGGAATGGTTTTAAAACTTTCAACAAAACTTGCTCATTAGACATTTCACAACCAAAAGCTTTTCGTGATTTAGACAACTTATTTTTTTCTTAAAAAAACATAATGGATCTAATCAAGGTGTAACTAATCTATTTTTTAAAACAATTTGCAAAAAAAAATAATTCACGAAACCCAACATAACTAATCTGTTAAAAGACTAAAGTAGCTTAGTCTAACAAAAGTAGAGAGGGCAAAGGGGAATAAGTGTCATATAATACAAAGTCAACATATCAATAAGAGCACAAACATAATAAAGTAATGACTAAAAAGAGAAAAGAAAGGAGTAGTTCTCCAGATTTCTTTGCTAATTTTCCATGTCCATTTTGCATGAGCTTTTGAGAAGTGGGAGACACAAAACAGAAGAGAGATGCACGCTTTGAAATGAGACTTCTTGCACGGTAAAAGTCTTTTATGAAGACTCCAATTAGCTTCTAAAGTGTTCATGTAAAGGAGAGAATAAATAAATTAGTAAAACAATACACCTTTATATGATAGTGAATAATTCAAATATGTTATCAAATATAGAGCTAAGTAAAGTCGTAAA